ACTGTTGAGATATTGAGATCCTCATAGATTCGTTGGTTGGTTACGTACCAGGGTGCATCAACAATTGCTCTTAAGATTTTTGATTGACATCTTTCCATAATAGCAATATTAGATTTACTACTACAGCCCCACAGCTCTATGCCATATGTCCATATTGGTTTAATAACTGTTTTATAAATTAGAATTTTATTATTTATTGACAGTTTGGAGTTTTTTCCAATTAACCAATTGATTTCTTTTTGTCTTAGTTGTATTTGTTTTCTTTTTTTGGTGATGTGTTCTTTCCAACACAGGGTTTGGTCCAGGTGTAGCCCTAGGTATTTGGTTGTTTTAGTCCTGGGTATTTCCTCATTGTTGATATATATTGGTGGTGGTGTTTCTCGTCGTAAAGTGAAAGTTACGTGGGTTGACTTGTTTTCATTAATTTTTATTTTCCATTGTTTTAGCCAGTTTTCAAGCTCATACAAATAATCTTGGAGTTGTTGTGTAGCTATGTTAATGTGTTTGTGACTGGTAAGTGCTACTGTGTCATCTGCAAATGTGCCAATTGTTACGTTATGCGAAGTTGGTAGATCAGAAGTATATAATATATATAATAAAGGTCCCAGGACACTGCCCTGTGGAATTCCCGCCTTAATGGGATGCATTTTAGATATTTCTCCATTTACTTTTGTTCTAAACTGTCGGTTTTCCAAGTATGATGTAAGTATTCGAAAGAAGGGTGGTAATATTTGTTTAATTTTATAAAGAAGTCCTTTATGCCAAACCTTATCAAAAGCTTGACGTACATCTAGTGATACCATTGGGCAATATTCCTTTTCTTCTAATGCGGAATTGATTTTATGGGTTATTCGGTGGCATTGCTGGATAGTTGAGTGTTCTCGTCGAAATCCAAACTGAAAATTTGGTATCCAGTCTGCGCCTGTAAGGCCTGGATCTATTCTTTTTATTAAAAGTTTTTCTAGTAATTTGGAGATTGTTGATAACAGACTGATAGGTCGATAGGATGAGACTTCACTTGGATCCTTTCCTGGTTTTGGAAATAAAAGTATTTCTGCAATTTTTAGATTGTTAGGCCAATAATTACATCTTAATATTGCGTTAAATATATATGTAAGGATCACTATACCCTTTTTTGGTAATTCCTTTAGCATTTTTGGAGTTATTAGGTCAATTCCTGGTGACTTTTTGATATTTAGTTTTAAGATTTCTTCTTTAAGTTCTTTGGGTGTTGTTAATTTTATTGGATTTACTGACGGTTGTTCTGAGTTTAAATAATTAATAATTTCTTGATCTTCTTCATTGTTGTGTGGTTGGAATACTGTTGCTAAATGTTCAGCAAATAATTCGGATTTTTCTTTATCGCTTCTTGCCCATTGGTTCTGTGTGTTTGTGGTTTTTCTTACTGGTGGCGATATTGCTTGAGGTTTTAAGGATGATTTGATTGGTTTCCATATTGAATGGTCGTATCTATTAAGTTGTGTTACATATTTTTTGACTGACTCTTCTCTTGCAATTTTTAGTTGTGTTTTTAATTTATTGGCTAAGCGATTGTAAAACGTTTTATCCGCTGGGTTCCGACTTTGTTGCCATTTGGCTCTTGCTCTTCTTTTTTCAGCAATGAGCTTTTTAATTTCTAGTGGAATATTTATTCTATTCTCGATTTTATTTTTATCTGCATCGTTCGGTGTCGCTTCTTTTGCAGCGTTTTGTAATAATGTCATAAAGTTGTTTGTAGCTGCTTCTATTTCTGAAGGGCTTCTTAGTCTTACATTTAGTTTAATGTTTTCATCCAGTATTTTTCGGTAAACGTTCCAATCTGTTCTAGGTCCATGCAGTTTTGGAGTAGGTTGTTTGTTAATAACGCAGGTGCTAATTGTTGCAATAATTGGTGAATGATCTGAAGATAGATCATAACTTGGAACTATGTCCATAAAGGTGTTAGATATTCCTTTTATGATGCAAAAATCTAAGAGGTCTGGTCTTTTTTTGGGGTCCGTTGGCCAGTACGTTGGTGTTCCTGTTGATAAATATGAGTATTTATTTTCTTGCATTAAGCTATAAAGCTCTCTCCCCTTTGTTGTTATTAATCTTGATCCCCAGTACGTGTGTTTACTATTGAAGTCACCAGCTGCGATAAATTTTGGACCTAGAGTATTGAAGAAGGATGCGAAATCGGTTTTTTTAATATTGTGCTTTGGAGGGCAATACACTGCTGCTATTGTTATTTCGTAAGGTAATGAGCACACTTTAATTACTGTAGCTTGGATACAGTCTGTTATATAACTTTCCATCATGAAATGTTTAATTGATTGTTTGATCAAAATTGCTGTACCTCCATGGGCTGTCTTGTCTGGATGGTTAGTATGGTACGTTAGATATTGAGGTATTTTAAAATACGATTTGTCTGTAAAATGTGTCTCACTTATTAATAATACATCTATAAAATTTTGTTGTAGAAATATTATCACCTCGTCCTTATGATTCAGCAGGCCATTGGCGTTCCATTCTGCTATTCGTAGAAAGAATTTTATTTGCATATGAGTTTACTTAGCATGTTTATTACCATGCTGTTTTGTTGCAAGATTTGATTAAACATGGCTTTGAATTCTTCTAAAAACTTCATAAGAATGGTGTTTGAATCTTGGTTATCTGAAGGAGCAGCAGGAGGTTGTCTATTACCCGCTGCATTAGCATAGCTTACATTTGGTCTTACTGTGTTGGGTATAAAGTTTCTGTTACGTGCTTGCGACATATTTTGGTGATGATTATATGTAGTTTGTGCTATATTTTTATTTCTATTTAAATTACGATAATATTCGCATCCTTTATAGTTAGCTGGGTGATCTCCTCCACATAAAGCACATGTAGCTGGTGTGTTCTTGTTCTTTTTACAACTGCTTGTACTGTGCTGTCCTCCACATTTCACACAGACATATGGTCTATTGCAATATGTTTTTGAATGGCCATATAATTGACATCTCATACATTGGATGATATTTTTGTTTTTTATAGGTGGTTCAATTTGTATATTGCAGTGTTGTAGTTTCTGAATTTTATAAATATCTTGGTTATTGTCTGATGGTTCAAGGTCAACAAAGAACATATTTATCGGCTCTTTTGTAATCCTATGTTTAGCATTAATGATGTTTCTTACCTTGTGACCCAGTTTTGTCAGTTCTTCTTTGATGTCTTCTGTTGCATGTGAATAGTGAAGGTATTTAATTACGACTCTATAGGCCCTTTCTTCTTTTGGTTGATATGTGTGATGAATAATGTTGTTCTCTCTCATATATCTGGAGAATTTTCTGTATATTTCTGGATCGCTACAAATTATTTTGACTGTATTATTTGCCATAGTTCTGGTTTCGTATTGTTCAGCTTCAGCTATTTCTGTAAATTTTTTCCTCATTTCTGGGAAGTCGCTTACATCGTAAACAAATATTGGTGGTGGTTTAGGTATTCTTGGCGCTGTTTCATTTTGATTGGTTTCATTTTCTTGGGTATCCGTTAGGGTATTATATTTGTTCGATAGTGTAATGGTATCATCTTCTTTGTCTGTTTCTACATTTGATCTGATTTTTCTGCGTTTTGTAGTTTTAACTACTTGCCATGAGTTATTTGTTGACACATTTGCACTTTCTGGTTCGTCATCGCTTGTTGATGACATTCTGTAGTATTGCTGGCTATTTCTGTTATTTATATTGCTGTTGTGTGCCGCGTTTTGTTGATTTATATATTGTTCTTGATTGGGCGGAAATATCATATTCGTCGAAGAATTAGTGGTTGGTTGATTTATTTGCATATTGTACATACCTGGTATTTGTGATGAGATTTGTGGATAACCCTGTATATTGTTGATTTGTGATTGACCCTGTGTGTTGTTTGGAATCTGCATTTGTGGGTAACAATTCATTTGGTTTGATGGATACTGGATTGGTAATGGCTGGCTGTTTACATTTTGTATTTGTTGGCTAACTATGTAGTTGTCGAATCCTGGTCCATTTCCCGTTGGAAACATTATAAATAAATTACTGTATTGTTTTTAAATTTAATTTGATGAGTTTATTATTTTTAAGTCTATTACTAATTGATTGCTTTTTAATCACTTCACATTTATCTGTTCAAATCGAGAAAACCGGTCGAATGTTGATAACAGAGAACCATTTAACGTCCGCTCGGTATGGAGTATCGATGTGAACTAGTTTAAATATGAGGGTTTTATTTGAATTTACTGTTAATACGGCAACATTGTACACAATTTTGCCGGCCTAGTCTAATCAAGGCTGTTCATCCATCCATGAATTTTTATTTATTAATGTGGTCTCGATCATTTGCAGCCCTGGAAATTTCTACCTCTGAAAAATTTATTATTTGTCCATAATTTTCTATTTTTGAGATAATAAAAATAAGATGAATTATATATTTTTAGGTCATTTGAATAATTTTATAAGGAACATGTAACCTTGGTAAAATTGACTATTTTAAATGCATTTTATTTGTGTTAGCATTAAATCAAATGTACCATATTAAGTTTTGTTTTGTATTTTGTTGAATAAAAACCTAAAAACGGAAAAAAATGTATAATAAATATTTATTAGAGGGAGAAAGCTACATGCTTCTGTATATTTGTTCTTTTGCACACATCAAATTAAAAGGAGATAAAAGATTTACCTTCCCTACACAAAGAAAATAGTTGGAAAAATTGTTTGGTCAAAAAGTAAAATAGGGAGGATCATATGTACTCGAATTTAATAAATTTCTACTTATTTAATCAGTTCTAACTTTTAATTTTCAAGGAACGAAGTTGATATATACATATTTAGAGAGGCCGATAGCGTGTAAAATTTATAAAAAATTGTGCGCAGAATTGAACTGATTTTTGTACAAACCAGCTCCTCCATAACCCAACTTTTTTTTTGAGACGGCAGGACGCGTGTTTCAAAAAATTTACAAACTAAGAGCAAAAACGTTCCGGAAAATCTTGTTTTTTTATCAATATGAAGTTATATTGTTGGGTAAGTGATTTTAGTAATAATGCATTTATATATGAATTCTAATAAAATCGTTCTTTAGGGAGCTAATAGTTATGGTCAACTAGGACTAGGATATAGGTCTGAGGAAGAAATTTCACCAAAAGAAGTTTCCTTACAAAACTGTGATTTTGAAGCAGATGATATTGTCTCAATTGCTGGGGGAGCTGGACATACTTTGATATTGGATAACAAAGGCTTTGTCTATTGTTGTGGATGGAACTCAAAAGGTCAACTAGCTCTTTCAGATGACAGCCTCAAGTTAACCCAAATAGAGATCTTAAAGGAATTTAAGATAGTTCAAATTTCATGTGGTTGGGATTTTAGTGCTGCTGTGTCAGAATGTGGAAAACAGTTTGTGTGGGGAAACAATGGTAATACTCAACTAGGTCTATCAAAAAGTATAACCTGCACGGGAATTCCATCAAGACTGCAAGTTTCACAGAAACTAGCTACTGGTTTTAAACATGTTAGCTGTGGATTGAGGCATAGTGCTATGATAACAAAGGACGGAGGACTTGTAGTTGCTGGTACTGGAGCCAAAGGTCAATTAGGGCTAGGTGATAATTTTGATGATAATAACTATCTAAGTATATCCAGAGTTCCTGATTTGAGTGATGTTATTAGTGTGGCAAGTGGGCAGCACCATACTGTAGTTCTTAAAGACAATGGTACTGTACTTAGTTGGGGTGAAAACAAGTTTGGCCAACTTGGGGTGAATCCAAATGTAGCAAACAGTTTTGTACCACTAGAGGTGTTCAACAATGAAGGTTTGAAGACTGTGTTTGCTGGTTGGACTCACAGTGCAGGTTTAACCACTAATGGAGAAGTCTTTACATGGGGTAGAAATAATTATGGACAATTGGGAGCCGAAAGAGAAAAGCCATATGAACCAGAAAAGATTCCAACACTGAACAATGTGAGTCAATTAAGTTTAGGCTCAGAACATAACTTGGCTGTGACAGCAGAAGGAAAGTTGTTCGCATGGGGCTGGAATGATCATGGGAATTGTGGTACTGGAGACAAAAAGGATGTTAAGATACCAACTCACATTCTAGCTAATAAAAAAGTTAAGTCTGCTTTTGCTTGTACTGGTAGTTCATTTGCTGTTGTTGAATAGTAATAAACTTTTTTCATTCAGTGAATCTTTATGTTCATAAGTATTTTTTATAAAGAGTTGATCACTATTAATTGTAATTTCTGTATTTTTATAATAAAATTGTGTTGCTTGTAATAAAATTAATTTTTCTTATGTTGGTAACTATGTACTATTTGTTTGTATTGATCATTGATTTGTTGACATTGTCAGTAGAATATAACATCAAAATGTTAAATCAATTCCGTTCTAGAACAAATTGGTAAATATTATAATTTTATATATTATATTGTAAATAAGTGTCAAAATAATGAATCATGTAAACAAATTATACAAATTTTATAGATATTCTCATTCAACAAGATGCACAAATTCTATTTTCAAATGAAATTGTACTGGTCATTTTTTAAAAGAAAATCTTTATTAAATATATATTTTACATAGGTTTCTTTTTATTAATTTTTCCTTACTCCTTATAATGAATTACAGAATCCCACTTTTTAATAAGTATTACTCCATATTTTGCTGCATTAAGTTCTCTTCTTGTAGTTGCATGCTCTTTTCATGTTGATATTGCTCAAACATTTGGGTATTTAAAATTGTATCAATGTAATTCTAAATCAAATCAAAGAAATGTATTTTTGGATTTGTTTTTTTCCAGCGATAAGGAACTGAATGTTGAAATGTGAGTGATCCTCTACTAAACTCAAGTCTACATTATATTGTATATGAATGTTGTTTATCAATCTCAAATATATCTATAACAATGCTCAGTTGAAAGACAATCATAAATCATTTTAGAAATATTTTGTTAACCATAAATGTTCTAGTCACAGTTTACCAAATGCTATGTTTTACAGGGATCAGTCTGCTTCTAGTGAGCAAGAAATTGCTAATTTGTTCAAGGACTTCCTTCAAACTGTCTGTACCCCTGGCGTTAATAACCTTCAGTTTCCTAATATCCCCATCATTAACAATATTGGTACAAATTATAATGTCTCTGAAGTCACTTTCATTGATATTTTTGATTGTAAGTTCTCTTCCAAGTAAGATTGCCTCTGGACCTGATGGTGTTCCCAATTTTCTTTTAAAAAACTGTGTTTGCACTACTGCCACGCCATTACATACTTTATTTAATAAATCATCTTTATTTCCTGATGTTTGGAAGAAGAGTTATTTAAATGTGGTCACAAAGAAAACATTCAAAATTATAGTAGTATAAGCATTCAGTCTGCAATACCCAAATTATTTGATGGTTTGATAGCTAAACAGCTATCTTGGTTGTGTTTTTGTGCAAAAAACTCTACAGCTACTAATTTAGTTTTGTTATCAGTCTGAGCTTATGAAGCAAATCACTGATCGAAAACTAGATGCTACTGATTTTAGGAAAGCATTTGATCATCAAATTCATATTGCAAAATTGCTTTCTGTAGGATTCATGTTTGTGGAATTATTGGGTTGTGTCAAAGAGTTGGTTGCTGGTAATATTTCAGCGTTAATAATGGTCACCTCACATGTTCCACAGGGAGGACATACATCATCTATTTTTTTTCAACATATTATTGATATTGTGAGCTGTTTTGTTGCTGACTTCTGGGGGTTATAGATGACTTTAGAGATCAGTTGTCTTTACAAGCTGATCTTAATTGTTTATATAATTGAAGTAGTAGGAATGGTCTTCATTTAAACGTTAAAAGTGTTGTTTGATCAGTTTTACCCAAAAGGTGAACAGGATTGGAACAACCTTCTTAGCATGTCTCTTCCATTAAATAATTAAGGGTTACTTTAGATGAAAAGCTTTCCTTGGTGGAGCATATCAACTTTATCCATAAAGGTTTCTAAATTACTTGAGTTTGTTTTAAGACATTTTCATCATCGTGTAGGGTGTTTCATCACCCTACATTCAATGTCATATTAACACATTAGAGGCTGTTCAACTTGAGATAATTGTGCATTTTGATCTCATAATATTGTTGTTAATCATGATTATACTAATATCGAACAACTACTAGGATTACCACCACTTAGTACTCAGCAGGATATTTCAGGTACTGCTTTTATTTTAAAAATTATAAATAGTCATAATTATTTTCCTTACCTGCTGAATGGAATCAGAATTAATGTTCCATATTTAGGTTTGTGCCATATAACTACTTTTAATATCCCACTTCATCGAACATCATATGTTAGTAACAATATGTTACACAGATATGAGATCATTAAATAACTCCTGTAACCTATTTCATACTAGTTCGAACCAACTTAAGAAGTCTCTTGTACTTTCATTAGTTTATTATTTCTGTATTATTGTATTTTACTGTTATTGGAATTATCCTGTTATTAATTAGGTACTGTCTTTGATTCTTGTCGAGCTATATATATATATATATATATATATATATATATATATATATATATATATATATGTATATATGTATATATATATATATTTATATATATATATATATATATATATATATATATATATATATATATATATATCAATCTATAACATTCTTCACGGTTTTCTGATTTCCAATTTCTTTTGGTCTTAGTCATTCAGAAGGTACCTTCTTTATCTATTCCTGTTTTTATATCCTTGTCGACTCATTCTTTCCAACTTAATCTCGGTTCTGCTCTTCTTTGGTTTTCACTGTGATGTCCAGTTTAATGTTCCCTGTTATTCTGTGTTTAACGTCCATGATTTCTTGAATTCTCTCGGTTCTTACCCTGTCTAATCTTGATTTACCCGCCACTCTCCTCCAATAATCCATTTCTGTTGCTTAAAAAGTCTTCTTTTTCCTTCAATGGTCATATTTCGCTTCCATATGTAACATTTCTTTTGACAATACTATTATAGATTCTCTATTTGCTCTTGAAATTATTTTATCCCTCAGTAGGCGTGCTGTTCAATGGTCGAGTGACCATTGTCTTCCCTGGTTATTTCTGTGTTTAATCTCTTCATCCACATTTCCGTCATTGTAATTATGAGTGCCCGTTGGGAAAAAAGTACTCTCTCCAAAATTTAACTATAATGCTTTATTAAGCCGAGTCTGATACGATTTTCCTCTGACAAAATTTCTTAAACATTTTTCTTATAGTTATTATAGCTATTTAATTAAAAGAATATTTTGTATTTTTATTTATTGTTATACTATTAATTCTTATTTTATTTCTTTATTTGGGCCATCAACTGCCCTCTTAGTCTTCATCATTCAAATATGTGTGTATTTAACATTTTTTTTAATAGTAGGTACACCATTATATCTTTTTAACTTTTTACAGTTCGTTTTATTATTTGTAGGCGTTATTTATTCTATTTTAACTTTGACCAAGAAAAGACCCACATTTTCGTCTCTCCCATAGGTTCGACTAACTTTTGTTTTTGTGGCTCTTATGTTTAACTTCTATTATCAAATAGTCGATTTAATTAATTGTCTCCCCATGTGGTGATGTCAAGGTACCTTTATGAATATCTTTGTGGTCAAAGAAAATACTCATGATTCGCATATTATATTCGAAAGCAAATTCTACTACTCGTCTGCCAATTAGGTTACTGTCTTTGTATTTACTCATTCCTCCTATTTTCTTGTGTAAATCTTTCCTACTAATCTATGCGTTGAAATTTCTTATAATGATTTTTGTATCATATGATTGTATCAATTGTTCATGGTAGTTTTCTTTAATATTTTCATCCGTATTTTCTGTTGATGTATTCATATTTATAAATGCTATTTTTCTATACTTACCTCTTATTCTTATCTTACATAATCTGATTGTTGCTGCTTCAAAACATCACCAAATTGCAATTTTTTTCTAAATATGAAATCCAACCCCAAATAATCGTATATTGTCTCCATTGCTAAAAAATACATAGTTTCCCATTACTGTGCCGAAATTTTCTTTTGTTTGATCTCCTGAACGGCTCCAATAGCTATTTCACATTTGTCCATGGTGTCAGTTAAGTTTTTTACTGCTCCTGCATAAAAAGTACCTCTAACCTTAAACATTTCATTGTCCAATCATAATTCTACTACAATTAATATTGCTATATAAAATCGAAGAAATACAGGTCGATAAAGAACATCATAACTAAAAATCTTAGACAGTGTACCGAAATATCAGCCATCGAAATGTTCAGAGTTGCAGTTGATAACACTAATTATTGCACTAAACTGATTGCAAACACTATCATGTCTTCAGTAAACATACTAATGTATGGAGAATAAGCGTGAACAATAATCGATGACATGCTTAAGAAACCTGAAGCTTTTGAAATGTATCCCTATAAATTAATATATGCTGCAAGTGACATGGATCGAGAGAATCCTAAACACAAAAGTATACTGCCAAGCATAAAAACAGGTTCAATTTTCAAATTGTTTCCTGTTGCAACATATTTTATTGATTGCTTGCAGAAAAGTTTTTATTCAAAGTTTATTGAAGGTAATGAAAGTGAACAATTAGCGACTATTACGTTCTCTGGCAGTGATAAGAGCTTGTAATTGACGAGGCATACTTTGGATAAGATTTTGGATCACATTCTTGGGAAGATTATCCCGTATCTCCAGCATTCATCTCCATTTCCAAGGGATCTTATCGTGGCCGTTTGGTTTCTCAAAGCACTAGAAGCGAAAAAGAGCTCATCTCTAGCTGCTGTAGTCCAGTCTCGCCTTTTTTTTTTATAAAACAAGCTTATCGCAAGAACTTATGCAGGCAATCAGTTAGTAAACAGTTTTCTTCTTAAAGGGCCGTGTTCTTTCGAAGGTTGACGATCATTGTGATTATTTTAACTCTGTTCACTGCTAATAGTTCTAAAAATTTGGTTAGACGAGCAATTAAACCATTCCCTGATATTGCGCAGCTATGAAATTCGTTGCCTTCCACGCTACGCCTTCTTAAAATATTTCTTTGCATGATTTTTACCCTGCAGAAGCTGGTATTTTGCTTCTCTCCGCCTAGGTATTGTAGTTATCGTATCTTTATTTCATTATTCAGTTCTGTCTCTTTTAAAAGTTTTGGCCAGACTTCTTCATTCGTGACTCTGTCTACAAAAATATTGTCAGAATTCTTCTGTAACGCCACATGTCGAAAACTTCCGCTTTTCTCATCATAGCTTTAGTCAGAGTGCCTGCTTCTATACCTACTGTAGTAAACTATGTTACAACCGAAAAAATACAAAAAAGTTAAAATAAATTTAAAGTACTCCTAATTTTATGCTCGGAAGGGTAATATACCAACTAAATTCTTCTTCTTCTTCTT